CTAGCAGAGCAGGAACAGGGGATCCGCAGCAGCACAGCTCTAGGGGCTAGTGCGCTGTTGTGTAAGCACTAAGACATTCTGTGTGGCTTTAAGGCAGGACGCCTTGTGATATCTCAGGTATTGTTGCCCCCTCATTGCATGAGTGCTGTGTGACTACTGTCTCTACGCACAGTCTCCGCAGGAAGAATCCTCATGGCCATGATCAGGGAACTACCCTTATGATGGTATGACATGAGATGTGCCTCCCCGAGCACAAGTTTGTAAGTGCATTGCTTGTGTGAGTGATTGGATGAATGAATGATGAATGAAAGCTTCGCATATGAACTTGCAGCCTAAAAGTTGCTAAGAGCAAGTGGTATGGGACACTTGTGCATTTTCTGAGAGCTACTAGGTTCCGGAGAGCTGTGGTCTGAAAGGCACGCTACGTATACAAATTCCGCTGCGCAGGCGACTTGCTGCCGCTGAGCGCGCAGGCCTTAAGCTGGCCGCGTCGCTCCGCGCGCGCTAGTGCGCCGAAACTCGATCGCCCCTGCCACGTGGCACCTAAACCCCGAGAGTGGGCAGTGGCCAGAGAGGGGTGTTCTCTGGTATCAAAGGGAAAACAGGTCCTTTGTGAAAGAAGACCACTGAAAAGGTGCTCCCCTATTTCCCTGAGCTCCACTACAAGCTCCGGAGAAGGCTGAGCCCTTACAAAGAAACTGCAGGAAAGTTGCAACGAAGAGTGCAACCACAACAATCTTATCTGTGCAAGTGAATTTTACCTGGGGTACCGGAAGTTGAAACTCCTGGAGAGCCCCTTCGAACGGAAGGGTGCACCTAGAAGTACTCTCCCCGAAGAGAGAGACAGGAGAAAAGGGTCAGCTAGCCCCCTCCCGCAGAGAAAGTCTGCGGTAGAAGGAAAAAGCCACCAGAAAATCGAAAGGTCAGTGAACGAGCCTCCGCAAAACTTCGTTTGCACCACGGGAAGAAGGCTGTTTGTGAGTGTTGAATTGTCTCTGCAGGTCTCGCCCCCAAGGTCACAGGACAGAGCTGCTCCGGAATTGAAGTGTGTTTCGTGAAGTCCCCAGAGAGGGTCACGAAGAAGAGCTGATTCACGGGAGTGAAGTGCCGCCAAGTGCACGCCTGGCCAAGAATGCAGGAAGGAGCTGACTACTCAACTCGAAGTGCCTCCGTCATCTGACGAAGTGAGAGCGGAATTGGGCTGACCATAGCCAAGCTGAGCAGCAGGAGGCTGGCTCCGCAAGTTACGGAGAACATGACCCCGCACGAGGGAGTGCCGGACATGAGCGAAAGTCTGATTGGAATCAGAACTCGCAGAGGGACTTTTGTAACGATCGGCCGCACTACCACTGTGCTGCGCCAGGACTGGTGCGTGTGATCTCCCTCAGATCATGGATCAGTCCCGAACGGAACTTCTCGATCTTGATCTGCTCATCCTGAACAAGGTGCACTACGATGACGATTTCAGCAACTCCACTACTTATATAGTGAAGTTCGACCGATTTTAACCACAGTTCGTGATTTTCGAGGCTACACTGCTCGAATCATCACATTACCCCCAATTCAACCCCCTCAGGATTCAGGGAGAGCAGAAATCACCTGAGTTGCCCTGAGGGATTCGAGCCCACGACCCTTAGGTCAATGGAAAGCGTCATGAGACCGTCATGACGTCAGCCTCTGATACCAATGTAACGATCGGCCGCACTACCACTGTGCTGC